TTAGTTAGGCACGTGTTTTTATTCAGGAAACAATTGAAATAACCTCAAAAGTGCAGCAGAACTTCGTTGGCGTTTTTTTTTTCCACTCACTTCATTCATTGAGTCATTCATTCAATGTTGTTGGGAGGTTTTTATGCTTTATCAAGAACCTACAACAATAAGTACGACAATAACAGCAACAGCAAAAAAACGTAAAGTGTAACATAATAATTATGTATGTGATGTGGCCAGCTAAGCTTTGGGTTTTTGCCACTACTTCTTGCAGTTGAGGCGGGATAATACCTCCCAAGCTGCGATTATCATTCTCCTTAGGGAACTTGTAGTTGTAGTGTTGCAGAGTAAGGCCATTTGATAGTGAAACTGAAGGGGTTACAACAAATTTTATTCATTCATTATTTTCATTCATTCATTAATTTTTTGTAAGGGGGTAGGGGCCGAAGGGGGAAAGGGTGTGGAATATTTTAATAAGGAATATGATCACTGATCTACGTCTCCGTTTTTTGCTTTTTTGTTCAACTTACTCCTAGCTAGAGTGTTTTTTTTCTCAATTGTCTGTCTGCTTGTCTCTTGCCTGCCCCGGTGCCAGTATCTTCTTACCGGAAACTAATTATACAGCCTTTGTTTTTCCCCCCTCCACCTAGTATTTATGTTCAGCGTTGTTGTTGTGTTTTTTTCGTTTTTTTTTTGTCGATCGCTTCTGTGGTAGGCGACATATCTGCTACGCCCTGGCTTTGGTTGTTGTTGTTGTTATTTTTGTATTATTTTGTTACAGTTTTGATATTGAAACCTACTCAAATTAGAGACAGTGGAACGAAATGGAAACTTCCATTTTTAGGTACTATTCGACTTACAAATCGCCACTTATCAGATTATTAATTGACTGCTTACCAGATTTCTCCTTACCAGATGTATATTGAGTTACCTTACCAAACATGTATTGAGACTCTTTATGAGGTGTCTTTAAAGGCTACTTCCAACTTTGCAGGCGTATAATGATGCACTTTAGCAGGTGTCTACTAAAACACCTTACAGACGTCTATAGAGACACATTACTAATCGTCTACATTACCAGTCATTTATTGAAACTCCTCGCCAGTCGTTTTGTAAAATTTTGTCTATTGAGAAACCTTTCTAGATGGAGATACAATACCAGACATATATTCCGACTCCTCACGAGGCGTCTATAGAGACTACTTACCCGAATTCTGCAGAGCCTCCTTACTATGCGTCTTTTTCGTAACCTCGTTTTGAGACACCTTACCAGTCGTCTATAGAGACATCTTATCCAGAGTCCATAAGGACACCTTACCAGTAGTCTATAGGACACCTTACTTTACTAGGAGTCTATATAGACACCTCACCAGGAGTCACCAGGGGTGCATAGAGACACCTCACCTTAAGTCTATAGAGACACCTTACCAGGAGTATATAAAGACACCTTACCAGGAGTATATAAAGACACCTTACCAGGAGTTTATAAATACACCTTACCGGCAGTCTATAAAGACACCTTACCAGGAGTCTATAGAGACACTTTACCAGAAGTCTATAGAGACACTTTACAGGAGTCTATAAAGATGCCTTTCCAGGAGTCTATAAAGACATCTTACCAGGAATCTATAAAGACACCTTACCAGGAGTCTATAAAGACAGCTTACCAGGAGTCTATAAAGACATCTTACCAGAAGTCTATTAAGACACCTTACCAGGATTCCAGAAGTCTATTAAGACACCTTACCAGGAGTCTATAAAGACACCTTACCAGGAGTTTATAAATACACCTTACCGGCAGTCTATAAAGACACCTTACCAGGAGTCTATAGAGACACTTTACCAGGAGTCTATAGAGACACCTTACCAGGAGTCTATAAAGACACCTTACCAGGAGTCTGCAAAGTCACCTTACCAGGAGTCTGCAAAGTCACCTTACCAGGAGTCTATAAATACACCTTACCATGAGTCTATAAAGACACCTTACCGGGAGTGCACAAAGACACCTTACCAAGAGTCTATAAAGATACCTTACCAGGAGTCTATAGAGACACCTTACCAGGAGTCTATAAAGACACCTTACCAGGAGTCTATAGAGACACCTTACTTGGAGTCCACAAATACACCTTACCAAGTGTCAATAAAGACACCTTACCAGGAGTCTATAAAGACACCTTACCAGGAGTGCACAAAGACACCTTACCAAGAGTCTATAGAGACACCTTACCAGGTGTCTATAAAGACACCTTACCAGGTGTCAGTAAAGATACCTTACCAGGAGTCTATAGAGACACCTTACCAGGAGTCTATAAAGACACCTTACCAGGAGTCCACAAATACACCTTACCAAGTGTCAATAAAGACACCTTACCAGGAGTCTATAAAGACACCTTACCAGGAGTCTATAGAGACACCTTACCAGGAGTCTATAAAGACACATTACCAGGAGTCTATAAAGACACCTTATCAGCAGTCTATAAAGACACCTTATCAGGAGCCTATTAAGACACCTTACCGGGAGTCTATAAAGACACCTTACCAGAAGTCTATAGAAACATCTTACAGGAGTCTATAGAGACATCTTTTCCAGGAGTCTATAAAGACACCTTACCAGGAGACACCTTACCAGGAGTCTGTAAAGACACCTTACCATGAGTCTATAAAGACACCTTACCAGAAGTCTATAGAAACATCTTACAGGAGTCTATAGAGACGTCTTTTCCATGAGTCTATAAAGACACCTTACCAGGAGACACCTTACCAGGAGTCTGTAAAGACACCACACCAGGAGTCTAAAAAGACCCCTTACAAGGACTCTATAAAGATACCTTACTAAGAGTCTATAAAGACACCTTACCAGGAGTCCATAAAGAAAAATTACCAGGAGTTTATTCTACACCTTACCATCCGTCTGTTCGGATACATTACCCGCCGTTTATTCACATGCCTTACCAGATGTCTATTCAAAAGCCTCACCAGCCGTCTATTCAGACGCCATACCAGCCATCTATTCATACGTCTTAACTGTCATCAAAAAATGTCGGAAATAGCATCAAATTTTAGAATAAGTTTAGATTTGTTCGAATTGGTCACCTTTGGCACGAATTATGGTCTTCAAACGGCCAATGAAATCGTCACACGCTGCCTGAATGTTGCCCTGCGTTATTTTGGCCCATTCCCGGCGAAGCGCTTGCTTGAGGTGATCGACACTTTGGTATTTTTTAGTGCCAACCTTGCTTTCCAGACACAATAGGCCAACGGATTGGTATCGGGAGATTTTGGTGGCCATTGTGCGCTGGAAAAGAAGCGAGGAACCTCATTTTGCAACCATTCTCGTGCTGAGTGCGATGGTGCTGAGTCCTGTTGGAATGTCAAAGGTCTGCGGCCAAAATATTTGCGTGCCCAAGGCTTTAACACACCCTCCAGAATATTTTCGCGATAATATTCGGCATTTATTCTTATGCCACGGTCGATTAATTAGAGCGGAGAGCGACCACCGGCTGTTATGGCGGCCCACAACATCACCATGGCCGGCACTTGAGTCCACATTTTAAGCGGACCCTTTTGGCTAGAAAACACGATCATTTTGTTTGTTTACAAACTGCTAGACAACGAATGTTTTCTCATCGGAGAAAACCAAACTCGGCAGTTCACCACTATCGGCCAAGCGAAGCAACTCTTGAGCTCGTTTGAGTCTATTTTCTTTCCGTTGCGGTGTAAGTTCTTGCACTTTTTGGAATTTCAATGGCTTTACCCTGAGCTCATTTTTTAATATTTACCGAATGGAATATTGCGATATGTTCAGCTCACGAGTCATTTTTCGGCCACTGCGACGCGGGTTTATGTCAAGTCGCTTTTTTACTTTTCGAACTATTTCTACTGATGTTGCTGTTTTTTCCGTCCATATTCTTGACGTCGGGCTACGTTACCAGTATCACGGTTACGAGCGATGGTACGAGACACAAAAGATTTATTCACATTTAAATGCTGGAGTGCTCTAACGATAGCCACTTGTGGTTTTCCAGCCAAATATAAAGATATCACACTACCACGCTTGAATCACACATCGCGAATAACTTTTTTTCTGGAAAATTCTTACCAAAATGCTTTTGAACGCTTGTAAACAATATAATGAGCTATCACTGGAATAATTTTAACAGCTGTCGGACTAGTGGCTTAGAAATGACAGCAGTCTGAATTTGGTTGCAGTTTTTTACCCTGTAAAGGGCTGGTAAAGGACCTCAATGTATTAGCCTTATATACTGACTACTTACTAGTCGTTAATTCCAGTGTAGAGGGCCGTTTCTTTCAAGGTTTCCTTTGACCTCATTTATAAAAAAACTACTTACCTGACCTCTTACTGTTAGTCTGGAGAATCTTTATAACATTTGTTATATCTTTCTTTTACACCTACCTTCCTCCAATTTTGTCCCACTGTTCCAAATTATCTACGCCTTGAAGTTTTGGTATTAAACCTTCTTCCTCTCCCCTTTGGTTGCCATTTCTTCAATGTATGCACTCATAAATTCTCTTGCTGTTGTTGTTGCTACTGTCATAATTTCACTTCGTTAAGAAGGGGTTAAATATTGATTAGGGCCACTTTAATACTTTTGAAATTCTGTTTTTCGATCGCCGATTTATGTTTCTTAAATGTAAGGTTTCGTTATTTAGGGGTTTCTTATTTGAATTCTTTTGAATTATGAAAAAACCCCTTTTGGAATTTATTTCAAAGATAATGATCATCCGTTGGCTGATTCGGGTTACGATCGGATTTTTTTTTATGGGTTATGATTGATATTCATATTTTTTTTCGTTTACTTCCTCTTTCAAAGACTAAAATTGTAGGGGTTTTGATTATTATTTGATATATTTTAAGGGCGTTTATTTTGTTGCTACAAACTGGCGCCCAATGTCATTTACATATTTCTTTCGAAAGCTATTTGTTTTCATATTCAATATTTGAAGCTGTAATTAAATTTATATTTTTCTATATGGTTTTTTATTTATAGATCCAACGCATGGTTATTAGTGGCGGCAATTTCAAACCCGACACTCTGAAGCCGAAGGAAGTGGTATCTTTACTCTTGGATGATGAGGAAATTGAAGCGAAATGTAAGTATAATCAGAGATCTTTCAAAGAATATATTCGAAGGACCATACAAATGGATTTTTCAAGGACTATCAGAGCCACTCAGATGGATTTGTAAAGAATATTCTTTAAAGGCCTCTCAGAACCACAGATGTGGAATTTTGAATTAATATTATTTCAAGGGATATTAGAAGCGAAATCATGAATTAATTATCTTTTTAATTTTACAGATCGTCAAAAGATTGAGGGACAACAGGAATCGACTTCAGCCAGTAGTAGTGGTAGCGGAAACAAAGAATCAACTGGAGAGAAAAGGAAACGTCAACAAAACAAGGTAAGAAAATCTAAAAACAAACATTAAATTAAAAAAAAAAAAAAACAACAAATGAAAGTTAAAATCATCTTCAATACTTTCTCAAAATTCGATAATAGATCTCTTCGTCGACCAAAAAAGCCAAATACCTCATCACTCACTTCCGTCTTATGCATACGATCATCCTCTTCATATACATAAGAGCTCAAAACTGTCTGTTTGTAAAATTTTTTTCTCTACGATCCTCGCTAACCCACAGATGCTGGTCTGAAAAAAATGTGCAAACAGTACCAAATCAAATATGGCTAATGGCAACAACAAACTCCTCTTAAAGTGGTTAAACGGTGGCGTTGTTTTCGCTCACATACGGCACTTGCCTGTTTCTGCAGCTTTGCCTACAATTCATGGAACCTGACTTTTTTCAGATCCTCATCCTCATTCATCCATTGCTACAACGTTGCATGGATGACGGCCTAAATACGCATGAATACAGATTTTAATCTCTAAGATTAAACGTTTTTAATAATGTCTAATAGAGTTGTGAGTGTCTATGTCTTTTAAAATAGGATAATTGAAAAGTTGTCGAGAAACATAGATCGATTCAAGATTACTTTCGAATAGAGGGGTGATTTCGTTTTTTCCTGTTTTTTAATTATCTATTGCATAATTTAGCTTTCAATGTAAATAAGGAAATTTAAGAAAAGAAGAGAGTCATCAGTCATCTTTGAGAGGATCATGTAGTTCAACATATGATTCTTAGACTTCTTAGAAGACCAGAAGGTCTTCTTGGCTCCATTGAAGACCAGAAGACCAAAAGATCTTCTAGGCTTCATAGTAGATCAGAATAGCTGAAGGTCTTCTATGGCTCCATTGAAGAGCTGAGGGTCTTCTAGGCCCAATAGAAGAACAGATAGTCTTCTAGGCCCAATAGAAGACCAGAAGGTCTTCTAGGTCCCACAGAAAACCAGAACGTTTTCCAGACTTCATAAAAGACCAAAGGGTCTTCCATGCTCCATAGAAGATCAGGAAATCTTCAAGGCTCCATAGAAGACCAGCTGAAGGTCTTCTAGGCCCAATAGAAAACCAGAAGGTCTTCTAGGTCCCACAGAAAACCGGAACGTTTTCCAGGCTTCATGAAAGACCAGAGGGTCTTTCATGCTCCATAGAAGACCAGAAAATCTTCAAGTCCCTATACAAGACCAGAAGGTTTTCTTGACTTCACAGAATACTGGAAGGTTTTCTTGGCTTCACAGAAGACCAGATGGTTTTCTAGGCATCATTATAGGCCAAGGTCAGAAGGTCTGCCAGGCTTCATAGAAGACTAGATAGTCTTCTAAACTCCATAAAAGACCAGAAGTTCTTCTAGGCTTTGTAAGGGAGCTACAGTTCTTCTAGGCTCGGTAGAAGAGCTCCAGGTATTCCAGGCTCCATAGAAAACCAGAAGGTATATTAGGCTCCATGGGAGACCAGGAGGTCTTATATTCTTCATAAAAGACTAGAAGGCCTTCTAGACCCAATTGAAGACCAGAAGGTCTCCTAAGCTCCATGGAAGACTATAAGAGTTGAAGGTCTTCTATAGCTCCATTAAAGACCGGAAGGTCTTCTAGGCTACATAGGCTCCTCGAAAAGGTCTTCCAGGCTTCATAGAAGACCAGAAGAAGAGAACTGAAGCTATTCTATCGGTCCATAGGCCATCTAAGGCTCTTCTATCGTCCCACAGGAGAGCTGAAGCGCTTCTAAAGGTCCATGGAGAGCTGAAGCTCTTCTACAGGTATATAGAAGAGCTGAAGCTGGAGCTCTTCTAAAGGTCAATAGAAGAGCTGAAGTGGGGGTTCTTCTACAGATCTATAGAAGAGCTGAAGCTGGGGTTCATCTAGAAGAGCTGGAGCTCTTCTAAAGGTCCACGGAAGAGCTGGAGCTCTTCTAAAGGTCCACAGAAGAGCTGAAGCTCTTCTAAAGGTCCACAGAAGAGCTGAAGCTCTTCTAAAGGTCCACAGAAGAGCTGAAGCTCTTCTAAAGGTCCACAGAAGAGCTGAAGCTCTTCTAAAGGTCCACAGAAGAGCTGAAGCTCTTCTAAAGGTCCACAGAAGAGCTGAAGCTCTTCTAAATGTCCTCAGAAGAGCTGGAGCTCTTCTAAAGGTCCACAGAAGAGCTGGAGCTCTTCTAAAGGTCCACAGAAGAGCTGGAGCTCTTCTAAAGGTCCACAGAAGAGCTGGAGCTCTTCTAAAGGTCCACAGAAGAGCTGGAGCTCTTCTAAAGGTCCACAGAAGAGCTGGAGCTCTTCTAAAGGTCCACAGAAGAGCTGGAGCTCTTCTAAAGGTCCACAGAAGAGCTGGAGCTCTTCTAAAGGTCCACGGAAGAGCTGGAGCTCTTCTAAAGGTCCACAGAAGAGCTGAAGCTCTTCTAAAGGTCCACAGAAGAGCTGAAGCTCTTCTAAAGGTCCACAGAAGAGCTGAAGCTCTTCTAAAGGTCCACAGAAGAGCTGAAGCTCTTCTAAAGGTCCACAGAAGAGCTGAAGCTCTTCTAAAGGTCCACAGAAGAGCTGAAGCTCTTCTAAAGGTCCACAGAAGAGCTGAAGCTCTTCTAAAGGTCCACAGAAGAGCTGAAGCTCTTCTAAATGTCCTCAGAAGAGCTGGAGCTCTTCTAAAGGTCCACAGAAGAGCTGGAGCTCTTCTAAAGGTCCACAGAAGATCTGGAGCTCTTCTAAAGGTCCACAGAAGAGCTGGAGATCTTCTAAAGGTCCACAGAAGAGCTGGAGCTCTTCTAAAGGTCCACAGAAGAGCTGGAGATCTTCTAAAGGTCCACAGAAGAGCTCAAGCTGGATCTGGATCTCTGGTCCATAGGAGAGCTGAAGCCTTCTATTGGCCCATAGGAGAGCTGAACCTTCTTCATCGATCCATTGGAGAGCTGAAGCCCTTCTATCGTTTAATAGTAAACTTAAAGTAAGCTAAATTCTTTGTGTTTTCATTCTCTGCTTCCAATCTTCTCTTGAACTCCCCATTAAGTCGGGTCAAGGTAATTTCTTTATGGCAACACAAAAAATACCAGAAAAACTCCCGCTTTTGCAAAGCTCAAATTGAAATCATTGAAACATTATATTTATGTTAAGATAACAGCACAGAGAAAAAACTACCGAATCATTTCCGATAACTTAAATGCATATCATGGCAGCTATGAGAGCCATACCAAAGGGTGATGTAGCCAAGTGAGTGGAACACCCATTGCCCAAACGCAAGAACCCCTCAGACGACGAGTGATATTGACCATAACCAAGCGGAGAAGCAGAAAAAAAAAACAGTTCATTGTTATAGTTTTTTTCTCTCTCTGACCAGACTTGGATAATTTTCACAATACTGTTGCGTGCCACACTTAAGGTGGAGATGGTTTTGTGAAAAAGAAATCTATCGGACCTGCGAAGTAAGTAAATTTCCTTTTTTGGGCAAAGTGCTCTGGTTTTTATTTGCCCAAAAACGAAGAAGAAGTGAATGAATACATTGTTGACTCCTTTGTCCCAGATGTTTCTTTGGCCACCAACTCTACTTCGAAAACATGGCAACGCATAATATGCCATTAACAATAATCAACGTTCCATTGAACGAGCAAAAATCATTTAGCGAAACCGAAACCAGTAACTACCGCCGAACAGCAGCTACTGCTTATTACTGACCACGAACACGGCGACAAAATGAAATGAAATCACGGAGTCGAATAAGTAAAACTTAAGAAAAGTTGTAGGGAAGTAGCCGAGAGGAAGAAAAGGAAAAACAATCTTCATAGCGGACCATATTAAGAACAAGCCTTTTGTTGTGAGCCCAGCTGGCCAAGACCTTCGAAACGCAAAGGCAAAAATCCAAAAGCCATGACGTTACTTGTCGTTTTTGTTTTCTTCTTTCGGCAGAGGAACTAAAAGTTTTCTTTGCCACTGCGCTTCTGCTCATTTCCGAAAAGGGAAAATAAATGAATGAATGAACTAAATAGTAGCAATACCCTAAATGGTCACTTTACTCTCTGTATGGCGAAACTGAAGTTGGAAACCGCTGAATTGAGTTGTCTTCAAGTGATTTTTTTTTATTTTTATACAAAAATAAATATCCATTTAAAACTGAAATAGTAGTGAATAAATGGAGAAAGAAGGTGACTACTTGACTTTTTAAGTTTGTTTTTTTTTTTTACGCACAGTGATCTGTGGTCTCCTTCTTAAACGGGGGCGCAGCAGGTAGTCTTTGGCATGGCAAAAAGGAGTTTTTAGCACATAAGGTCCTTATGATCCATAGAAGATCAAAAGATCGTTTAGCTCCATATAAGGCTCCTTAGAAGACCAAAGGTCTTCCAGGCTCCATGGAAAACTGGAAGGTACTTTAGGTGTTATGGAAGGCCAGAAGGTCTTCTAGGCTCAGAGAAGTTGTATTCTATACTCCAAAGAAAACTAGAAGTTCTTCTAGGCTCCATAGAAGACCCGAAGTTCTTATAGGCTCCTTAGAAGACCAGGAGTTTTCAGCACATAAGGTCCTTAGGCTCCCTAGAAGTCTAAAAGGTCGTTTGGCTTCATAGCTTCTTAGAAGACCCGAAGGTCTTCTAGGCTCTATAGAAAGCCGGAAGGTACTTTAGGTTTTATAGAAGGCCAGAATGTCTTATAGGCTAATAAAGAACGTATTCTGGACTCCAAAGAAAACTCGAAGGTCTTCAAGGCTGCATAGAAGACCCAAAGTAGGTGTTATAGAAGGCCAGAAGGTCTTCTAGGCTCATAGAAGTCGTGTTCTATATTCCAAAGAAAACCAAAATTCTTCTAGGCTCCATAGAAGACCAGAAGTTCTTTTAGGCTCCTTAGAAGACTAAGAGATTTTTAGCACATAAGGTCCTTAGGCTTCATAGAATACAAAAAGTTCGTCTGGCTCCATAGAAGGCTCCTTAGAAGACCAGAAGGTCTTCTAGGCTCCATAGAAAACTGGAAGGTACTTTAGGTGTTATAGAAGGCCTTCTAGGCTCATAGAAGTCGTATGCCATACTCCAAAGAAAACCAG